TCTATCTATCTATCTATCTATCTATCTATCTATCTATCTATCTATCTCACTCTATCCTTCTCCATCCATCCATCTATCTATCCATCTATCCATCCCTCTCTCTCTACCCTTATCCATTCATCCATCCGTCCATCTATCTATCCAGTATGTATAAATATCTTTATGTATATGTATATGCGCTCATATGCGCACACACTGCAAATCACTTCAGGCTAAACATAAAATGATAACTGTCAACTGTTGGTTTTGCATGTACATTAACTGTTAAAATAATAACTAAATCAGAACCTAGCTATACATACCATATATGCATGTACATATTCCTGTCTGTGTGTACACAAGCTATACAAAACCCAAATTGTTGAAACGGCCACTAAGTAGAAATTTGGCTCTTTAGATACTGTATGTTTTTGTGTGTGAATACATGTAATCACAGCCTGTTAAAATAACTAAGTCAAAAATTAGCTATACATATGTTACCTCTATGTGTGTATGTGTGTGCACACACATAGATATAATCGCTGTAAGCAATTGCAACAATAACTAAATCAAATCCTCTTGAAAGGATACAGTAGCCAACCTATACATTGTGTAGTCATTGCAAGTTAAACTGTTAAAAGAGTAACTATGTCAAAAATTGGCTGCATATACACTAGATACATATAAACAATCACTAAAGGTCAAACTATAAAAAGGATATCTATAAGGTAAACGTGTGCAAGTAAAGAATAGATACCATCTGTTGGAGATCATTTGGATTCTTGTTCTGCAGCTTAAAAGGTTTCTTCCATGTGTTTACGTGTGTGAATTTAAAAATATTTATATGCTACTTTCTTCCTGAAAGCTTATTTTATTTACTATCTTAATGTTATGTTAATTTTATTCCAGGGAGATTAATCATGTATTGGGTATATTCATATATTTTAAAGATATGTCTTTAAAATGAATGCAATATGCTTAACCTAATTAATTATACACTTGGTAGTTCATTTCCACAACAGGTAATTCTTAGAAAGTTTTAATGTTCTTTGCACATCAGTGAACCCTAGTTAGGTCAGTTTATGCTTTAATGCATTGGGCAAATCCTCTGCCCTATCTTGTAAGCAATGGCCTCAAGTCTAGCTGGATTTCTGATGCATTATGTGAGCATATCCATGCAATGTGCTTTGCAACTGAAGTAGCTTGCATTTCTTTTAATCTTCTCCAGACTATATTCCTGGAAATCATTTAGACAACAACATCCAGGTGCTGCCACCTGGTGATTTGGAAAAAGCTTAATGTAATACAATTTGCAGACTGAGGGGGAAAAAAGTAAAATGACAAATCACTTCTGCATTGCTGCAGACAATATATCCAGTAAGTGTTGTGCATGAGGGACCCTTTGCCTTTAGTACTTTAAGAATCAACAAAAGAGTTGTTTGTGTAATTAAAGTGTGTTGTATACACGAGCCAGTATTCATTTCACAATACTACTCTTAGGTTGGTTAGGATGCGAAATAACAGTTAGCCCAACATCCCTAGGTGAACAGTGTATTTCACTTTCTTTTCCTGATTGTGATAAAACAATAGTGCTGCTATATATCTGAGAATATATTTGGTGGAACAAATCTGAATTTTTTTTCATAAAAATATGTAAGAGGACTGAAATTGCTTAAGGTTGGGAATTGCTTAAGGTTGAGGATTAATGTGCATTTTAACAGCCCAGTTCCAAACTTATACTACATCTTCTCTTCTCTTACAGTTGAGCAAACATGCAGTAGGGTCATACTGCCATTCTATGCAGATGTAACATGGAGATAAAGCTGATTAGAAGCAAGGTCTATTTATATTAGGCTATGAGGAAATATTTTAGAAGATAAAATTGTTCATTTTTAAATGTAATAAATAATCTAGTGCGTACTGACTTTTATTACTCATAACACTGATGCCCTGGATTGTGTGTTTCTAATCTGTTCCCCTGTTCCCATGATGTTTTAGAATGTGGGGCAGTGAATGAGAGCAAGTAATCTCCTGATATGGAAGCAGCTTTAGTTCTGTTATGTTGAGGGGGGGCTTGTATACAAAGGATTGTTTATTTTTCTAACCAAATACAAATCTTTGTGCATCACACAAGCTGAAAATGGAAGTAGACATGCCTGGAAAAAACATTACTTATTCTTGGAATAGTCATCTCAGATCTCTGCAAGAAATATAAATTGATTGTATTACCAATTAATTTTGCACAGTAATTTTATTTTGGAGGTTCCCTGGGGTTAGTGTTCAAAGGCTACAATATTGTGTGACAAGCTGAGACAGAATGCTCTGTAGTTCTTCTCTGTTGAGCTTGCTTGTACTTTGAGCCAGTCACTTTTCTTTTGATCTGGCTTGCTTCACAGAACTGATGCAAAGCAAAATGGAGAAAACATTAAACTTGCACTGGGGTCCTTGGGAAAAATGTGTGATATAAATATTTAGTCTAGTGTTTTTTGTTTGTTTGTTTGTTTTTTGCACGAACTTCCAGGATTTTTCCAGATTTGACCAAACCGTCTCCTTCAATAAACAGAGGAGATAACGAAATTAGTTCAAAAGAGAGAGAGGTTTTGTACAGTATAGACAACCAAAGGCTTTCTGACTTTATAAACATTGGCTTTTGAAACCTGATCTTTCTTCCACAGGAGATGCAGTATTCTGCCTTCTTTCATGAGCTGTGACTTACCCTGTCTAAATATCTCTGCACCCGATACAAGTGGGAAGATGTAGCTATTGTGGCTGTTCAGAGTTTAGATCCCTAGATTTGGAAGTTTCATAATCTACACTCTCTGCATAAATGACATATGGAGGAGAATCAAGGATCATCTACCAGGCAGTTCCAGCACAGAAATTGGGAATTTTAAAATTCAGACTTTTTACATGTCCTTCCTTGTATCTGCATTGCTTGCCTTTGGACTTCTGCTGGCCTGAGCTCTGCTGTATAACCTGCCAGTGAGACATTTCAGGTTTTCCTTGGTAGAAATGAGGCGGGATAGACCACAAGAACGGGCAGCTAGCTGGCCAGCAGAGCATATCAAGGTGCTCCTTGCCCTCTGGACTGAGGCAGCGGTCACTCATGACCTTAGCTCCCATGGGAGGAACCGTGCAGTCTATGATGGCATTTCTCAGCGTCTTGCAGAAATGGGCATTTATCGGACTGGGGACCAGTGCCGTGAAAAAATGAAAGGCTTGAAAGTGGCTTACCGCAAGGCTAAGGAAAATAACTCTGTGGGGCGGCCGCCAATCAAGTGTCCCTTCTATGATGAAATTGACCAGATAATGACACAGTACATAAACTGCAGGCCTGGTTTTCCCTCTGAGGTTGGTGAAGGGTCCAGTGTTGCAGCGGACAGACAGGAAGGCCTCTCCATCTCTGAGCCCTGGGGGACCCAATCCAGCATCTCTGAGCGTTGGGGGTCCCAGGCCTCTGGGCATTGGCTGTCCCAGACTGCTGCCTCCGAAAGCCAAGGGACCGATGAATTCAGCTACACCCACGCAGAGGCTCATGAGGCTTTTGGCGAGATCCAAATCATCCCAGTTCAGGTGAAGGAAGAGGAATCGGAAGATGAAATCTCACCGGAGCTGGGTAAACTGTTCATTTCTCCTGGGGAATGTGTCAGTGCAAATCCTCTAGTCTAGAAGCATGATGGCGAACCTATGGCACACGTGCCAGGAGTGGCATGCAGAGCCATTTCTGCCGGCACACAAGAGGTCCCCCAGAAGAGCCCCACTGTGCTTGCGCCCTCTGCCAGACAGCTGATTGTCTGGTATCTGCCATGCATGCATGGAGGGAGACATGCTTAGGGGAGATGCATGTGCAGGGAGCGGGGCGTGTGGGAGCGTCACATGTGTATACGCAAAGGTGCACACATGGTCATGCACGCATGCGCAGAGGAGCAGCACAGGTTGTGCGCACATGCAGAGAGGTGCACGGTGCATGCGCGTGCAGGGGGCGGGGGAATCATGCGCACATTGCATCATGGGTGGGCACGTGCGTGTGTATGCACGCACAACCTTTCGGGACGCGACATAGAAAAGGTTAGCCATCACTGATCTAGAAGGATACCTAAGGAGGAGCAGGGAAGAATATGCTGTTAATCGTTTTGTGAAATATTTGGGTCTTTAGTTTCATAGTTTTATTGGACTTTTGGTCTAATGTTTTACCTGAACTCCCCTAGAACCACAACTTTCTGTTTCTGGAA